GGCTGCAGGGAACTATCTCGACTCAAGTGCATGCGTGATCACTCCCAGGCCCTGAACGAGGAGTCAGCAGAGCTGGCCATCGAGCTTCAATCGTCGACCAACCAGCGGCCTCACCACGAGCCAGATCGTTTCTGGACGGCCAGTCCGCCGGATTGGCGTCAGTAGACACTCGATCAATGAAGATCTTACACCTAAGCTCCAGAGCTAGATCCCAGAAAACCGAAATCAGAGAGCAAACGTCCTCTTTACTTGAGTAACCCTGCACGAGCGCGGCCTCGACAACTTCGGAGTCGATTAAAATGATGACATCCGAGCTGTTCAAGCGATCCGCGAACGTCTTGAGGGCCAAAATAGGAGCAAGCATCTCGATCGGTATGATCTGGGTTGATCTTGGCAACCAGAGCTTACTTACCGAATTGGGTACTACCGAAGTAAACTGAACAGGTCTACACAGCCTCCGGTCAAACAAAACAGCTCCTACGCGATCAGGCAAACGATTGCTTGCAGGTGTCCGTGGGTCAGGAGTAAATCCGTCTGTAAAAATGACACAGTCGGACTTCTTCTGCACTTGCCTATCGATCGTTCTCGGAGGACCCTCATTGACTAGTTTCAGCCATTGAGAGAGCGCGAGCTTGAGCGGTTTGTCTAACTCGAACTTCGGTCCGATCGGAAATTTCATGTACTGGCGCTCAGAAATCACTCTCAGGAAAGCTCGTCCAACTTTGCCCCAGAGCTGCGAAGCGCCAAACATGAGCTTGCCCTTGAGCTTGCCAGCAGTCCCGGGATCTAGCACGTTGTTGTCCAGGATCGACTGGATTTCACCTGAGAGCTCTTCCTTCCGATCTGGTTTGATTTCGAGCTGCATCTCCTTCAAGTTGTAGGTCACCCCTAAAATGGTCGGAGCGTCTGACAACTGAAGTTTCTTCTGATCATACTTAGCCCCTAACCAAGTGTGCACGCACTCAGCAGTGAGGCGAGCACTAGCGACCGTTGATTCGAGCTCAAAACCATATTTGTCATCATAAAAGCTGAAAGCGACCAACCCAAACAACTTGACCAGTATTTCGTTCACGGCTGCCGATCTCCTGTTATAATTGTAAACAGCAGAGACCAGTCCAAACGAATGACCGATCATTACAAAGAAAGCCGGTCGAACAGACTTGGGGTCTTTCAAACAGATCACTGAAAACTTTCTCTGGTCAGGCTTAACGGCGATTTGCCTGTACGCCTTTCTTTCATCTAGGACCCAGCCTGCAAAGTTGCCGAGCGGCACCAGTGATCTCAACAATCTCAGAGCTGCCACGTTGGAGTCAGTCGATGGCAACTGGAGCTTCTCAGAGATCTTGGTAACTTGGTTGATCATGTTAGTGGTGGCGCTGTCACAACCCCGAACTTTATTCTTTTGAACTACTTCAAATCTTTGGGTTGGTATCCAATCTTCACAACCTAAGAATTCTGAGACCTCTTTTTCAGAGAACCATGGCCCTTTACATGACCCTTCCGAGCAGTCCTCTAACGTTGCGTCCCAGATCTTCTGAAGGTTCTCTGAAGTTGGAACTGCTTTCACTCTCTGAACGATCTTCTTGCGGATGTCCCAGGCCCTCGCGAGAGCGTCCCGAACGGGGAGAGCCAGCTGAGGCTTGGTGTAAGGCGGCCACCGCCCAGAAGCATGGATCTCACCAACAATGGGGAACCCGTGCAACAAATCATGGACGAGCTTGGCATCGACAGAGTTCACAGCCTTGAGCATAGCCTCGTAGAGAGCTACATGGCACACCTGCCCCAACAACGGTCTCTCGTGTTCAGAGCAGCCGCGCAGCAATGCGCGCAGGTCAGGGTCCGGCTGAGCAGCAATGCGCGCCAAAGACACTGGCAACAACCGATGAGCTTCAGCTTCCCACCAGGCGAGCGCTTCCAAACGACGAGCCACTGCCGCTACAGGATCGAGCGCCAATGCATGGAGCGCCGCCTGAAGTGACGGCTCCACTTCGAGCTGGACCGTGAAAGGATGAACGACCTGAAGAGCCCAATGCACAGCCTGACCAGGCTCCAACTCCACTTCCAACAACGGTTTGAGAGCTCCTCGTTTGAGCTGATAACCAGAGAGCAGAGCTTTTCGAGCAGAGTCTTCCTGACGATGTCCGTGCCACACGGAGAGCTGCCCCAATGGCCGCTTGCGATCTGCCGGTGCGGTAGTCAGCTCGAACGAGGCTGTGAATTGGGACAGATCAGCGACCCAGATCTGGTGCACCAACAAGGCCATAGAGGCACACAGGGCGTAGGGGTACTCCTGCGCGAGCTTGGTCCGGAACACGAAGCGCCCACGGCGATCATCCCAGATCTTGCCCCGGAGCTGCTCATGCACATGATTCCCAGGGCACCGAACCCGAAGGGTCTCAAAGATCTGGGAGGTGACCCGGAGCCGGGTAGGCTTGACTGAAGGAGCTCCATAGACGCACTGATCGAAGTCCACATCAAAACAGCGAGCCGCCCGAGCCAATTCCATCATCGGAGGGGTTTCCCATAGCAAGCTGAGGAGTGGGTTCTCGATCGAGAAGTCGCCGCCCACCAGACAAACAACCAGAGCGAGTTCCACAGACCGCAGCATGAACATGTTGCCCATGAAGAGGATGGCCTGGTTGGTCTCAGAGAGCATAGGCAGCCCCATCGGAGCCTGCTGGGAGCGGAGGGGCGGAGGGCCTCCATCCAGTTTCCGAGCCGAGGAAAAAGAGTTGCACGGAGTCCCCAAATGCACAAAGAACAAGGCGCCGACATGTGCGAGCTGCATAAGGCGCTCCCAAAGCTCCAGGTCGAGTACGTCGACGGCATGCGGCACCATCTCCGAGCACTCAATGTCCACTGGGGGCAGAACGGGAACCCCCAGCGAGGCCACATATGTAGTTAACCGAGCGGTGCCCGAGAACACTTCTAGGAACCAGGGTCCATGCGAGCGCACCACATGAGGGTCTCGCGGAACATCTTTCCAAGACAACCACTGCGGGCGAGCAGCTACTGTACCTGTCAGCTGAGAACTCATAGAAGCGATCTCTGCCTCATTGTGGCACAGAGCAGGACCCCCAAGATCCCCCGGAGGCGGGGTCAGGACCCCCGAGGGTGATGGCCGATCCATTCAGTGGTTTCCGTGCCATGAGTGGCTCTTGCCACACTCGACACAGAGATGCTTGTGTTTGCACTGATCGCCGAAGCGGCACCCGCTGGAGCAGTTGAAGAACGGGCACCGTTTGGGGCCAGTGTACTTGAACGAGTTGACTTTGGTCCATTCTTCAGCCGGTATGCGAGCGTCACGAGCCGGCTTGGCCTTGAGCTCAGGCTTGGACTTGGTCTCGCCGGAAGATGTCTTCAGGGACCGAAGCTGCTCCTTGAGGCGCTGCCGGCGCTGTTTGTTCTTGCGAGCTTTGGCGGTAGGCTTGGGCGGAGTACCCGAGCGGGACCGAGATCGTTTCCGAGACTTTGGAGGCGTCATCGGAGAAGAGGACTGATGAGCTTGTTTGAACTTGTCCAACTCAGCTCCCGAGCGGGCGTCATTCCATAGCTGCTTATGATGTTGCAGCACTTCGAGCAAGGCTGAGGAGAAGGTAGTGTACTTTTGCTTGTGGTCAGAGTTGAGGCGATAGACCTTCTTCCTGATCAAGGAGTCCACAGCGAGCAGCAAAGCCAAGCCACGGTTCTCGTGGCGCCATTCCTCCAGATCGGACAAGTACTGCAACGGACCAGCTTTGTACGAGAACTCGCAAATATTGAGGTACTCCAAGGCAACAAAGAAAGCATGGAGCTTATCCATCACCTGCGACTCAGAGACCATGTGAACAGGCTGATCGACTTGCACCACCTTGAGCAAGTCCTCGGCACTCCTGCTGATGCCAGATTTCTGAGCGATCTGCTCGTTGCGCGTGCGCATCTCGCCAACTTCATAGAAGTTGACCGCTCCATGAACCATGAAGTCGCGCTGCAGGCGCTCAACGAATTTCCGGTGTGGTCCGCGATGGTGAGGAAGAACCACATCCGGGCGGCGAGCAATGAACTGCTGGCGGAACTCTGCATGATCTTCGCCCGGAATTTCCGGGACTTTGTTGGGATCTTCCTCCATTTTGGCTCTGCGAGCAGCAAAGTGTTCCTGCATGGTGGAGCAAGTACGCCAAACCGCCGCCAGGGAGGTCAGCGAGAGCTCCTGCCGTGGCAGATCTGCTCCGAGCTTGGTGTCATCACCGATCATGGTCTTGACGGTCTGCTTCACTGCTGCAATGGTGTCGCCGAGCATGGCGAAGGTCTCAACCGTGAGCAGGC